GAATACTATTGTTATTATTATACATTATTCGAATTCTTCAAAATTCCTAAGGTACTAGATTAAGAGTGTAGAGTTTAAAAATGCAATAGACCTAATTTTAATGTCATATGACAAGTATAATTGTAATCACACATCGCCAGCTTGGAATAGGCATTGACAACATAGCCAATGAGCTTACAGTTGCTTTATTTGAATTTCCTTCTTTCACGTGACTAATCAGTGGCTCGCTATATCTAACCTTCTGGCTCATGTGATTTCACTCGTTAAAACACAGATAAATAGAAATACACTATCAGTGTTAAACGTAACAATTTATTTTACTAAGATACAAATGCTGTTTTATAAAAGCATATTTTACAAAGATAATATATTTTAAGTAGAAACCATAAGCATGCTATATAAGTAACTCAGTTATTTCTTCTTACAGTTTTATAACGTTTCTTGCAGTTTGTAGAATGTGTACGAGGGTGTTGAAAGTAACAATGTCTGATATCTGTAAAGAACAAAAACTGTAGTTATATTTGTTTCCTTCAGATCGTGAAACTCCGGTAAAAGAATGCGCAAATCAGTTGAAAATTTAAAACTTATATCTTGTTTCGAGTTATTCATGTATAGGCTAAAACATTTTCAATTATGATTATCCGGAGAAACGCTTTTGTTTCTCCGTCTTATCTAATCCTGTGTTCAAAATTCTAACTCTTCTTTCCATGTTTCTGTGTATAAAGGTCTACTTAAAATAGGAACTGAAAAGCAAAAAAATAAAATTAAAAAACACGTTTATCTAAAAAAGTCGCCAGGATTTGACCTTTTGGTTTACCCAGCTGATTGGATTGGAAATTTATTTCATTTAGAGAGCAACATTGTTTCTATACTGCAACAGTTGTCTTGATGGCTTTGTTACGGGAACTGGATGAACCACTGTTCTGTTACAAACACACAACAATGGATTCAACATTATTCCGTTTCCCTAAAATAATGTTACAAACACACAACAAAGGATGCAAAAGTATTCCGTTTCCCTAAAATAATGTTACAAACACACAACAAAGGATGCAACAGTATTCGTTTCCCTAAAATACTGTTACAAATACACAACAATGGATGCAACAGTATTCCGTTTCCCTAAAATACTGTTACAAACACACAACAATGGATTCAACATTATTCCGTTTCCCTAAAATAATGTTACAAACACACAACAAAGGATGCAAAAGTATTCCGTTTCCCTAAAATAATGTTACAAACACACAACAAAGGATGCAACAGTATTCCGTTTCCCTAAAATACTGTTACAAATACACAACAATGAATGCAACAATATTCCGTTTCCATACGATAATACATAAAATAACATTGTGATTTCTAGAACATCAAGGAAACGTTTAAAGAGTAACATAATATGAAATTTACATTTTAACATATAATATAAAGAGTAACGTATTTATATCCCAAACGTACTAGGGTTGTAAATAGCCTAGTAATTAGCGTATCACAATGCTGATCGGAAGGTTGAAGGTTTGGGACGAAACATGCTGCTAAACAGATTCCTCATTTTCAGCTGAGCGAAAGTTATGATCAATCCAGGTATTCGGTTAAGAGAATCAGTGTAGGCGGCGAGTAGTACTGCTGGTTGTCCTCTGAATCTTGAGGTTTCTGACTTAGCCCAACTCTACTTATAAGAACCTCATGAAGCAAGTAAGATAATGTATGTGTATATCCTAAACTTACATATTAACATCTCATGTAGCGAGTAAGATAATGTACGTGTAAGTCCTAAACTTACATATTAACACCTCTTGTAGCGAGTAAGATAATGTATGTGTATATCCTCAACTTACATTATAACATCTCATGTAGCAAGTAAGATAATGTAAGTGTATGTATCCTAAACTTACATTATAACATCTCATATAGCAAGTAAGATAATGTATGTGTAAATCCTAAACTTACATTATAACATCTCATGTAGCAAGTAAGATAATGTATGTGTATATCCTAAACTTACATATTAACACCTATTGTAGCGAATAAGATAATGTATGTGTAAATCCTAAACTTACATATTAGCACCTCTTATAGCGAGTAAGATAATTTATGTGTATATCCTAAACTTACATATTAACATCTCATGTAGCGAGTAAAATAATGTACGTGTAAATCCTAAACTTACATATTAACACCTGTTGTAGCGAGTAAGATAATGTATGTGTATATCCTAAACTTACATTATAAGATCTCATTTAGCAAGTAAGATAATGTATGTGTAAATCCTAAACTTACATATTAACATCTTATTTACCGAGTATGATAATGTATGTGTAAATCCTAAACTTACATATTATCATCTTCTATGTCAGATATGACAATGTTTGTATAACAGAGGGATGCATATAAATATCAGGTACATCGAAAAAGATAATAAATAAATTAACATCTGCTAAGCTAATGTATGCATATCCCAAACTTACATAGTATCTAATAGTAAGGGTTAATATAATGTGTGTATATCTCAAACTAATATATTATCTTGTAGTAACGGGTAACACAAGGTATGTGTATTCTAAACTTACATAGTATTTAGTAGAAACGGGTAACATAACGTGTGCGTATCCCAAATTTACAAAGTATGTAGTAGTAACGGGTTAAATAAGGTATGTATATCGAAAACGTACATCGTATCTAGTAGTAACGGGTAACATAATCCTGTAAAGTATCTAGAAGTAACAGGTAACATAATATGTGCGTATATTCCAAACTTACATAATATCTAGTAGAAACGGGTAAAATATCATGTGTATATCCCAAACTTACGTAGCACCCAGTAGTAACAGGAAACAAAACGTGTGCATAACCAAAACTAACATAGTATCTAGTATTAACGTGTATCATAACGCGTGTATATCCCAAACTTACATAGCATTTAGAAGTAACGGGTAACATAATGTGTGTTTATGTTCCAAACTTACATAGTATCTAGTAGTAGCGGGTAACGTAACGTGTGTATGTCCCAAACTTACACAATTTCTAGTAGGAATAGATAATATAGCATGTGTATATCCCAAACTTACATGGCATCTAGTAATAACGGGTGTTATAACGTGTGCATATCTCAAACTTATTTCCGTTCTTGCAATGACTGTGGCTTCTGATCAAAATTGCCATAAAAGAAACAGTTCTCTTTATTCTTCTAGCTATCGAGTCCCATGTCACAAGATTGAAAATTCTTCCAAAAAATCCAATGTAACTAGCTGCTGGAAGAAAGACTTTTTTAAGCTATTTGTAGCAACTGCTGAAAGAAAGACTTCTTTAAGCTATTTGTAGCAACTGCTGAAAGAAAGACTTTTTAAAGGTATTTGTAGCAACTGCTGAAAGAAAGACTTTTTAAAGGTATTTGTAGCAACTGCTGAAAGAAAGACTTCTTTAAGCATAGCTCTAGACGTTGTTGGTTCCTTTCCCACATCGAGATGGAAGGATGTATTAATACAACAACTAGACTAAAAAAAGTATGGTATCTCAAACAGTTTGTCTCCGTCACTATCTAGTTTATTACTAAAGATATGAACAGGTATATTACTTAGAAGAGATGCCAAGAATCGTCCAATAGTTATCTAATAACTTCCTGGCCAACATTTTTGTTTTCTAAATAATTGCGTATGAGTTTGATTTCATTTTCTGTGTTTGTTTGTAGATTCTTGGTCAAATACGTCGTTCTTTATCTATTGACTCAAATAGCTATATCGAAACACAATTTTGTTACGTTTTATAGGTTATAGGAATATTTTTAAAAATCCCAATATCCACTGTTCCATTGATATCGTTTAAAAAACATATTATTTTTGGTCATTGATTATATATAAATGTGTATATAGTATATATCACATCTGCTTTTGTATATTGTTCATATAGCAGCATATCAGTTACTAAATATTAACAACTTCATATAGGATATTGATGAAATAGCAGCTTTGTATGACATATAAATAACATATTTATTTGGCATATCTTCTGCCGGATTTTGATGAAATATAAACTTACTATAGCATACATGTTACAGTATATTGGTTAAATAACACTTTTATACTTTAAATTATGTATTGAAAGAAATCCATAGATCAAATGGCTTTCAGGATTTGGTTTATCTGCAAGTATGGTAAACAAGAAACAGCTATTAATAGCAAGGTTATCACCAGATTAAACGACAACAATTACTTTTGAATGTTATGAATGTACAACAGCGTGTCTCAAGTTCAAAACTTGAAGAGAACAAGTAAAAGAAAATTTAATATATAAATGTTTACAAATAAGCTTAGCAGACTAAATTACCTGCAAGAGAGCTTATGTTTTCTCAATGTATATTTATTAGTTATTTAAGCTGTTTGATTTATAGACCAAAAATCGTCCATCGTGTAAAACTTATTAAGCTACGACATCTCACGATCACAGGTCCTATTACCACGTTCCAACCTGATTGTTCTTTTCTTTATGTGTGTGTGTGTCTATGTATGTGTGTGTCAGCTAAGCCTAACATTAGGCTTAATCGCAAAGGTTGACAGAAAAGAATCATAGTTTGTTTTTGATGGGTTTATATCCTCCACATTAGCTTCTCTTTTTAAACTTTGCTTACAGCTTCCTCTGTTGTTGTTGTTGTGGCTCGAATGCAGCGTGAAGATGGAGAAGTAGGCACTACACTGTCATCCACGCCATCAGTAGTGGGTGCTGATGACGCTGGCATTGATGGTTGTCGTTTAGATAGTCGAATAAATCTATCTCTACGAACAAACTCGTCGTATAGGTGAGTCAGACGAGACTCGTAACGTTCTGTTCTTATATACTTTATCATTACTACTACTAACGCTAGGGCATACAAAAGTAACACCACCATAACATAAATGATAGCGTTTGATTGGCTGTTAGCATGCATCTCCAGAATAGCCTTATGTCCTGGAGGCATGTCGTCTACCACTTTTGTGTTGTTTGGAACTGATAAGTAATTCTCCATAGTAACACGCTTTATGTGAGCTACAGACACCTGCAAAATAATAATAATAAGATATTATTAGAAAGAAAATTACTTAAAGCTACTGGTATTTAGTATATGTATGCAATAAAATATATATCATTAAAAAACAAAGCATATTTTCTTTTAGAAATACGTGAATTAGCATTTTTTGCCCTTTTAGATAATTTAGATAATTAGATAATTTTAGATTTTTAGATAATTGTATATTAACGTATTACTTGATTGTTTATATAAATGTTAATTATTGTCTTATTAGAAACTTCTTCTGTCTAACAAAATAGATTCAAAAATTAATGCGCTAAACTTGCTTAACTATCACGCCACGTATATAAGTATAATAGTTCTGTCTGTTGTATGTCCATGTAACTACCTCACAGGGTGTGAATGGAACTTCACCAAACTTGATATGGAGGTTCATTATGTCCATGCGGGGGTACATACAAATTTTCGGTTTTGGAGATTTTTATAGGCGATTTTGCGTTTTTACTACTACTTCGCCCTTGTTGATGGATCCTCACCAAATTTAGCAAGAAGGTTTGTTGGGTCCATGCAGAGATACATGCATATTTGCGATTTCATATTTTGTGTTTTACAGTTTTTATGGGCGTTTTTTGCGTTTCTTACAATTACATATAAGGGAAGCAACTTTTCATGTCCTAAGATAATCTTTCATTAATCATGAATTTACATAACTTCCGTCCAGGGGACTGGTACCCCAGCTAGTAATGAAATTACTTTTTAGGTTATGGTATTAACTGACACGTTCGTATTGTTATTTGGTCATGGAAATTTGACGTCATGTGATGAATGCGGTGCTTAACGTCTCGACTTTTCTTAGAACATTTTGTGCAGTATAAAACGCGAGTTAGGCTAGAGAGTAGATGGATTACTGATTATTGAGCCTGAAGTATTATTGTGTTTGTGTCGAGTTTGTTAGTCGGTAATGGTTGAGTTTGTATTTCAACGAAAAGATAAATATAAGGAAGAATTTTGCGAGTAACTGAAATTTCTGTATTAGTTTACTGTGAAATTATGACTATCAACGACCATCATTTAAGCTAACTTGTAGAACTTTTTGTCGAAGAAATAAAACACTTTCGTTACTATTAAGTGGACTAGAATTTCTATTCTTAGTTTTACAGACTAATCGAGAAGAACCTACCCAACAATTAAAACTTTAACAACAGTAGTCTCAAGTGTGGGATTATTTTGGTAAAAATAAAGTTGAATCCAGACTCAGTTCAAGATGATTACACAAACCCGAAAAGAAACTGAAATTTTAATCGAAGGAAGGTAAAGAAGAAGATGCGGTTAATTAAAAGAAGATCAAGAGGAAATATACAGGAATTAAGAAAGGAATTGCAAAAGCAAGACATAAGATTGAAGGAAGAATTACAAACAAAAGTCAATTTGATTGAAGGTAAGATCGAGGAAGACACCGAACATATACTGAATCGTTTCATGTGACTACAAAATCAAAGAAGTAGGAAAGCATGTCATGAAGAAAAATGGAAGTATAGAAGGACTATAGCAATAGACCAAAGAAGTTTAGAGGGGTTATAATAATAATAGCAAACAATACAAAAGGATTGTAGCAATAAGATCAAAGACGTTTAGAGGGGTTATAATAATAATAGCAAACAATACAGAAAGGTTTTAGCAATAAGATCAAAGAAGTATAGATGGATTAAATAATAATAGCAAACAATACAGGAGGATTGTGGCAATAAGATCAAAGAAGTATAGAGGGATTAAATAATAATAGCAAACAATACAGAAGGGTTGTAGCAATATGATCAAAAAGTATAGAAGGATTAAAGTAATAATAGCAAACAATACAGAAGTATTGTAGTAATAAGATCAAAGAAGTATAGATGGATTAAAATAATAATAGCAAACAATACAGAAGTACTATAAAACAATAATTGCAAGATCGAATAAGAATAGAAAATGTAGAGGACATTTATGTCAAAGTAAAACACATAGAAACTGAGTATGCAAATTCAAGGATCAAACTAATCACACTTCTCTACCATCCACTCAATAATTCTAACTTCAAACACCATTAACTATGCACTGTAAATTAGTAGAACCCACTTGGCCTTATCTGTTACCACAACTATTGTTATTGCAGGACTTTTCTGATTTATTCTAGCCACTTCACTACTTCATCCAGTCACTGAGTATAGAAGACCTCTCAAGCAGCATCACCCAATTGAGAAACCAACAGATAATGACAGAATAGTACCATGGGAAGCATATTAGATGCAGTTGGAAATCATTTCCAAAGTAAATGAATAGAGTAGTGAGCACCAAGCTTTGACCTTCCTCCACATTAAAAAACCCCAGCTTTAACAACATTAAGCAATGTTCAAAAAGAGAACCTAACCAGACATTAGTGGCCACCTTATGAAACAGATTTGGAGTATCACGTCATCTTCCAACAGAGAACCTAACCAAACATTAGTGGCAAAATAATGAAACACATTTGGAATGTGATGTCATCTTCCAACAGAGAACCTAATCAGGCATTAGTGGTCACTTCATTAATCACATTTGTAATATTATATTAGAAGGAAATATTAAAACCAAAGTTTAAGAGCAGAGTGAGGAGGAAGTGCAAAACCTTAACAGAACTTGTGGGAAGACTTGCCCAGTTATCTTATCCACATGAAATAATAGATTCGTGGGTCCCTGACCGATTCCTAGACGCCACATGTGAATTAGACTAAAGCAAAGTCGATGTAGACCCTTAAAGGAAGCTCTCCAGTTGGTGATGGCACTTGAATCATTTCAAGTTTCAGATAAATAACTAAAATCATCATTCAGGAATTACTATATTATCATATGAATTAGTTTAGAAACATCAGCTTTCTTCGCTGGAGATGTGGAATAATTCAAAGGAAATTAGAAAACTGTTTACTTAAGACAGAAGGTGGTTTAATTACAACTTAAAACGTATATTGCTAGGAACGATAAACAAAATCTTTTAATTACTCAATATTGTACTCAGAATAGAAGAAGTACACATCAGGATAGAAGATGTTTCAATTGCAACGTAAAATGGCATAAAACCAGGAACTTCATACAAAACCCTTTAGGAAATAAAAAACTGCTCTGAAAGGATGACAGAAATAGAGAAATGATATAACATGAAACCGGTATTAATAAACCAATAAGACAATATCCAGAGAATTAAAATACTCCAGATGTCACGGTTGAAATAATGATTGTGTCAATGGATTCATTGATGAGAAGCCTTGCAACATGTTGATCTAGACTGATTATATAGCTAGCATTGTTTGATTTGATCTGGTAATAAAAGGTGGGAAATTGTCTTCGGAGATTAGTAAAGCAGACGGATTGATGCGAGCAGCAAACAGTTATCAAATTCCAGCAAAAGGAACGTTGAAAGTTATCCTCACTATAGGAAGCTTCTCTACACAACATGATGTGTAGGTGATTGACATTGAGGAATAGTGCATATTGGGAATATACTTCAAGTGAAAACACAGATATCAGGTTAGACTTGATCCATATATTATCACAATCTATGACCAGGGAACCTCTGTGCTACAAGACAATTACACCACCAGACAGTTGAGCTCAGGGAATCTCTGTATTACAAGACAATTACACTACCAGACAGTTAAACTTTGCGTCACAATAAGGATGGAAGCACAAAATATTGATGATAACTAATATAAAGTATAACAGAGAAGAATCCAGGAAGACGGGTAGTCTAAGCCACAGATCATCTGCCACAATCATGTTTGGTGACATACCAGCAAAGGAAAGACCAATTGGTTAGCATGTTAGAATATTCTGCTAGAAGTAAATCCACTTGCTGGAAGGGCAGAGACTCCTGTCGAGATCACTTGTAATGTATTACCAAGGATGGATAGAACAATCAATGGTTTCCCTCGACCATCTACCTGAAAAGAACTCGCCCATCGAGATAATGGCAAGTGATTATAAAGGAGGGCAAAAGATCGTCTCATCTTCGTAACATAAGCCACGGAAAAAAAATCGGCCAAAATATTTTGGTAAGTGGGTAATGCAAAAATATATTTTCTAAATAAAAAATTATGATTGTATTTTGTGTCACAGACGTAACTAATGATGGTAATGTCTGTATTTATTAATACTAATGTTGTTATTTCTGAAGAATTATGTTATGGTTAATTATGGAAGCTTAAGTGTACCATTGGTTCATTTGTATAATAGGATAGTTCAAGGGACCCCATAATCATAGTATGGGCCAGTGTTGTGTGCGATGTTGTTTGATCATAGTTAGATTTGATGGCACTAGTGAGTGCGTGGCTTAACGTAAGAAATTTTCTACAAAGTTTTAGAACAGTTTCAGCAGTATAAACGCAAGTTTGGCTAGAGTAAATTGATTATTTAATCTAACAGTGTTTAAATTGAGTTAAAGGTAGCGATATATTATCAGACTGACATTATCAGTCAGTTGGTACTGTGATTATGAAGTTTATGTTTCGACAAAATAATAAAAATAAGAGAGACTTGTGAATAAGTAAAACTATTGTATTAGCTTCTACCGTGAACTTGTATTCGAAGAAATGAAACGCTTTTTTCATCATTAAGTAGACAGAACTAAGGATTTTTCCTTTTACTGAATAATCCAAAACAACCTGCCAGCACTAGAAAAAGTTAGAACAGTAAGAGATATCAGATGGTTAATAAAATTATTTTCATATTTGCGTCAAAAACCACAATAATCTGTATGAATGTTTAGATACGCACTTTTTAAAACTCAGCATAATTGTGATTTTTTTCTGAAAATTTAAAAACTAGTAGCATTTTTAAGTTAAAATTGGTTAATACTTTTTTGTTCCATTTCATCAACTCATGCCACCCAGTGGTAAATCGGGTTTCGATATCCGTGGTGGGCAGAGCACAGATAGCCCATTGTGTAGCTTTGTTCTTAACTGCAAACAAACAATTTATCTAATTATTAATAATCACAATGGCTTTGAAATGTATAG